TGCATTTCTTTGTTATTTTTCATAGAAATATCTTATTTCTCCACTAATTGTGAAAGATAATTTTGCAGGACATATCAGTCTGAGTTGAAAATTGTTTTATTTTAGGGCTTGAAACACTTCACTCCAAGCTCTCCTTACTTTTAAAAGATTTGTGTTGAGGAGTTTGCTTTCATTCTGATGGGTCCTCTTTTAAAAGTGATTTGTTGTTTTTCTCTAAAAGCTTTTAAAGATTCTGTTCTTGTGTTGGGCATCACGTATTTTAACTATAATATGTCTTATTCTGGTTCTTTCTAAACATAGTAGCTATTTGGGGTTCTATATGTCTCATTTATCTGTATGTTAAATTATTTTCCAGGTTTGGATTTTTTTCCTGATATTACTTCTGTAAACAGGATTTGTGTGCCTTTTGTGGTATCTTTCAATATTTCATTAATACAATTAATGGTAGTCTTCTTTGTATCATCTACCAGCTACTGGACCCATTTTTTATATTCTCTTAGTATTTCTAAGATCTCTAGCTTTCATTGATCACCCACCACATTTCTGTCTTCTAGATCTGACTGACATGCTGTACTCATATTGCTTGCTTCTGTTGCCCATACTTTCAATAGTATTTTTAATTTCCTGGATTTCTTTGAGGAAGTTTTTTATAGACACCAATTCTTTTCCATTCTGGGCACACATGATTTGCATCTTTCTTTATCTCTCCTAGTTTTTTGGTTAGTGCCTTTTCTAGACTCACTGATCATTTCTTTCATTAGGGCCATTATCTGACCAGTCCACACATGGTCACAATGATAACATAAATTTTTTATCCTCCTTTTTATAATTCTCCCTTGCTTCTTATTCCTACTTGTCAAAAACATTCAGTCAGCCGTAGAGACTCTGATAGACAGGTACACCGTGACCACATGACTGATGGCCTTAACCAAGTACCAACCTCTGCTCAGCAGGTTGTACTGAGCATGCCTTTATGAAAAAAAAGATAATAATAATAGTAATGATAAAATGATGCCCTCTGTTAAAACTTGTATTAGGAAGCACCAGAGAGGGGGAGTGAAGCAGGATTTAAAGACAAACAAGTTCTTCTCAGCCTTGAGAAATCCCCCCACACCCTTGGATCACTCTCCCTTCCCCCTGTAGCTATAACTCCTTGTTCTGGTACAGATAAAGTTGGCAACTAGGTCCTGTAAACTAAGTTTATGTCTTGTTCTCACAAGATTCGTAAGACTCTGTCTTCTGTCAAGGCTAAATTACAAAGCTGTCTGCACCAGTCCTGTGCCAGTAAACTTACTTGCTATGTCACTAAAAAGACCATACCCCTTTAGAAAATGTATAAAAACAAGAACATTTCCTTGTCCAATACTCAGTCTTTTGGACAGGAGTGCACCTGAGTCAAGGTGCACTTAATAAATCTCCCTGGTTCACATTGGTCTCTCCTGTCTCTTGGAATTCTGCAACACAGGGACCTATCCTCCCCTCCTTGCCCTACAATGCCAAGACAGTGCCAGGAAAACTCAGGACTGTGTAGGGGTGGGTTCCTTTCAAGTCCCAAATTGTTGCCTGAATCACCCTCTTGAGAAGGCATCCCTAGAAAAACTAAAGGTCATCTCAGTAGTCCTCTGGTAACTTCACTTGAAATTGTCATCTTTGTTTACCAGCCTACAAGGACATGGGCAGGTCCCTATTCAGGCAGATATTGTGGACTCAGGGGGCAGCACAATGATGACTCTGGGTGACCCTGAGCTGAGAGCAGGCACCAAACTGAAGGGGGAAGTGGTAGATAGAATGCCAAGCAGGGTTGGGGGTGGGATACGTCAGCCAACAGCGGCCTGGAAGAATGAGACTTGCCCTGAGGGTGGATTCTGGAGGCTCGAGTTCTATTTCAGCCCTGCTCCGTGACCCAGACCCTGGTGTTACATTGCCCTCAAAGTCAATCTGAGAAAGGGCTGCCCACATTCCTGTGTAACTCCACTTACTGCCTGTGGTTCCCAGCCTCTGGGAGGGGCAATCCTTGGATTTCCTTACTAGAAATCTATAGCATGGAATCTGGGTCCCAGTAGGAAGATGAGCAGCCCCAGAAAGTCTGGAAAAGGTATGGGGTAGTGTGCAACCTCTGCTCTCTCATCCTGCTAAGGTCCTTGCTTTGCCTGTGAAAGATCAGACATTTGGATTTCAAGACTTCATCTGGCTCCCAGGACTCATCTTCATAGTTCCTTCACCGGCACTGCCTGTGGCCTCCACAGCTCCACCAGCTCCAGGAGAGATGTCACACCAGCCTTACCTGGTCCTTCCCTAACCAGCCCTCACTGGTCTGCAGTGCTTCTCTTAGGGCTCTCAGTGGCTGCGCCTATTCACTGCTGTAAATTGGTACAGAATGGAGCCATAGACAAGAGAGATAGGGATGGTTTGTGGTAGGCAGAGCCCCGTAACTGGGCAGGGGCATGAGAGTGGTGTGAGGCTCTCCCATTTCTGGTTTTTCTCAAGTGTCTACAGGATGGTATGTCATGGTCTCCAAAGGGAAAGGACTGCTGTCGTCCTCTGGTGGGTGCTTCAGGGGACATGGTGGTCTTTGATCCAGGTAGCATTGTTCTTTGTGGCTGGCTCTCAGAGAAACCTTCAGGATAAGGTGACCCAGTTGCCGTCACTCCCCATTGCATGTGTCTACTGGGAAAGGGAGACCTGTACAAAATCACCTCATCAGCAAGCTCTCTCCTGGATGGTACCTGGAGGTGTGATCCTGGCCACGGGTCCAGGTGAATCAGCTTCACATCTCAGGGGACAGCAGTTTACTTGCTGGAACTCAGGAGCTGTAGTGGCCATGAGGTACCTTGGCTGCTGCAGTGTCCTGCTCTCCCATTGTATGTCAGAGAAGGTAGGCTATGAATGGGCCAGGCCCTGGTATATGTCCTAAGTGGTGGCAGGACGGTGGAGTGAGGTAGTACTCCATGTATTTTTAGGGACTTGCTCTTGAATGGCTTCACTTAATTCTCCCTGACCCAGGTGGAGAGGCAGTGGGGAATTAGTGGCCAAAGAATTTCAGAGAAAGGTGTCTATTTTAGGCCAGCTGACTATCCTAGCCCTAACATGAGAATTTTTTGATCCTACACTGCATCTTTGAAGAGGGAAGAGGGAGGAAGACAAGGAATGTGCAGAAGGCAGCTCCATGGATACTGTTTTAAGCTGGAGTTTTGTGGCAACTTGTTACAGTGGCCATAGGGAACTCCTGGCTCCAGCAATGCAGGGAGGAAACATGGAGTTCTGTTCCTGCCCTGAGAGTGTGATCCTGAAAGGCCCAGGTGGAATAAGGAACTATGAGAAGCTGCCTTGCTTGTGCCAATGTAAGAAAACAGATCAGTTTCCCGAAGGGATTCCCAAGGGCCAATCATGCACGGTAAACCTTCTGTCCACTGGGGCAGCTAGTGGATCTTTGGATACCAGTCCTCAGGTTCCTCTCTGGAACATCTTTGAGTCAATTAATGATTTATAGTAAATTCTACATCCACTTCTGCATGGCCTATGTGTCTTAACTGAATTCTTCAGCCACCAAAGACTAAGGAAGGGAGGGAATGCTTCCTTGCTACATAAGTGTTTGGTTTATGGTGACCATACTGTCCAAAGCCCATGGGAGAACAACATCAAAATCACAATGTAAATGAGATTATCATTAAGTATAATTGAGTTGGAATCACTTTCATTTGTTTAGGGTATTCTATATCTTGTGCATCCTAAAGTATGGCTTAAACTTTGGAGGTAGGTGTTCCTTGTGGTGTACAGAAGGCTTATATCAGTCCTCCAGAAGCCTCTGGCATAGGCATCTGAGGTTTTTCCTGGCTAAGGTCTAGAGGTAGGAACTAGGGAGTCTGTTTTTGAGACCAGCTTCTTATTTCCCTTGTGGCATTCAGGTTCTTTCCTTCCAGACATTTCTCCTCTCCATGTAACATCAGGCTGGGCTCTGGGGACAGCATGCCCTGGGGGTGATGGTGGCGTGAGCCCACCCTTTTCCCTTCCCCTACTCATGGGCCGGAGGACAATGAGTGAGGACATGGAGACTGGTGGAATGTGTTTATTTAGCAGAAAAGGGGGCTCCATTGTAGGAGGGCTGGGTTGAGGTTGATGGGTGTCCAGCGATGCGCTGTAACAAGGGTCTCCTAGCTCTCTCACTGTCATTGTGGAAGCTGAAGCAGACACTTGGCACCTTGGGCAGAAGTGATAAGAAAAACAGGGGTTGAAGAGACAGGAGGACCTGAGAAGGGACAGCAGAAGAAGCAGGACCCACGTTCAGGTGTGGGGGAGGGGAGGAACAAAGGCAGCCCCAAGACCCCCAGTCCGCCCCACTCCAATCTCTCCTCAACCCCCGCCCAGCCATACTCACTGCCTGTTCAGTCATCGATGCACTGATCTGTGGGGGAGATGGAAGGGAAAGAATATCAGAGCAGGTCAGGGGTGTGTGTGTGTGCGCGCGCGTGTGTGTGTGTGTGTGTGTGTGTGTGTGTGTGTGTGTGTGTGATCCTGTGTCTGTATTAGGTCCAGCCCGGCCAAAATGCAGGGTCTCTATGGGTTTTCTGACTTCAGGGTCTGAGAATGGGATGCCTTGTGGGCCTGGGCCTCACAGTGGCTCTGAACCAAGAACCCAGCCTATTTACTGCAGAGCCCTGTCAGCCTCCCAGGCAGTGACCCTGAGTGACATGGCTGGAATTCCCTGCACAGGCCAGGATATGAACATAGCCTATGTCAGGAATGAGCAAGGGGCTGGGAAGGGTAACGTGGGCCAAAGAGCAAGGCACAAGGTGTGGAGAAGGGGTGGCCCAGGTAGAAGACTCGAGGTACGGTTAACAGTGGGCTCAGGGCACCAAGAACTAAGGTATGGAGAAGAGGTTGCTCAGGGCAGTGATGATGGGCAAACATGGAACTGGGCCCGACGTTGTCATCTGGGCAGCCCTTGGCCAAACTGTCAGGGGGAGCATTTGGTGCCAGGGACCCTGGGGACCCACAAACCCCAGCTATTCACCACCAGCTTTCCAGAGATGGGAGCAGGGGCCTGAGCCTCTCCTGTCCCCTTTCCCTGGTGAGGCAACACCCGCCTGGAGGATCCCACATTCCCTTCCTCTCTCCCAGGTGGCCGTTACCGTTGGGGGCAGTAAACATGACATTGTCCTCAGTGAAGCCCAGGTACTTTGCAAAGTTGACGAAGTACTGCTTCAGTTCACGGCTCAACTCCTTGGTTCTCGCTGTGGGACAAGATTGCCAGTGAGTGAACAACAGAGGTACTTTGTAAGTTTTTAAAAATTTTTGAGACAGGGTGTTGCTGTGTGGTTGAGGCTAGGCTTAATTTCACAATGCTCCTGGCTCAGGCTGCTAAATACCTACATGACAAGTGTGTGCTCCAAAACCAGTCTGACACCATCAGTACTGCTGAAGGAGGCTTCAGACCCCTTTCTGGTGGAGGGTTTGTGGAAGTGCCTCCTCCCCGAGGGTTCTCCAAATGGACAAAACTTTGGGGTTGGGACAAATGGTTCCTTCCTCAAAGAGTGACCAGGAGCCAGGTCCCTGAGCAGGACGAAGGACTCACCATACAGGGATGCCTTGAAGTACTCTGTGTTTCTGAAGGTCTTCTCGAAGAACACAATGGCTACCTGATTGTAGTTGGTGGTGGTCACTCTCATGGTGTAGCTCTGTGTTCCAACATAAACTGTAACATGGACAGTGAGGGTCATCCCTGGCCTGGTCGGCATGAAGACACTGCTGCCTTCCAACTTGACAGTCAGCAGAGTCTTCTCTCAGTAGGACAGCATGTATGTGGAGTAGCAGGGAGACCCTGTCCTTCTGGGAGGAATCTGCCCCCAAATCCCAACCCCAGATGCCCCCTCACTTAGGACTCACGTGTAATATTGCCCAGGGTGTACTGGCCAGGATACACATTTGGGACAACAGTTCTGGTCCAGTGGTCACAAACAGTGTTCCTGTGGGAAAGACAAATGACGCAGACTGAGCAGGGAGATGACATAGACTTAAACTCCCTGAATTGGAAGAGGAGGCCCCTGCTTAAACATGTTTCTCTTGAAGCCCCAGGTCAGCCCAGCCCCAGTCCTGGCCAGACCGTGAAAGCCTTGTCCCTCACTATGACACAGGCCCCATGTGCCTCTGGCCATGGTCCTGGTCCTTCCACTCTGAGCCTCTAACTGCCTGCTCCACCCTCCCTCCAGCACTCAGTGTATCCTCAGGTGCCTCCCTGAGGCAGCCTTTCCCACACGCAGACCCCAGGCACTGACTCCTGCTCGTATCTCCTGGCTTCCCTTTCCTGCCTCTCTTTGCAATTTCCTCTGAGCTTGCAATGTGTTTCATGCAGATTACTGACATAGTGCTTGATCCACACCTGACCTCTCCCCTGAATCTACCCCATCCCTGCTCCCCAGAGCTAAGCCCTCAAACCTACATTCCTTGGGTTACTTCACCTTCAATTGCTCCAACTCCAAATCCCCCAATGGACAGCGACAGAGCCCAGTGCAGGTGGGTGAGCGTGGGCTCCCTGTCTAACTTCTCTCCTGTTCTACCTCAGTCCTTCCCTGCTTTCGACTGCCCAGCCTTACTTCCCTGCTTCTCCTCACCTCCCCTGCTACAGTTCTTCACATATCTTGGTCCTTGGCCCAGGCCAGGCCTTGCTCCAGAGACTCTCCAGGGACCACTCCTCTCCCAGCTGTCCATCAACCCCCGCTTGGGTGGCCAAGCTAATGCCTGACTGCTTTGGTGCCTCCTAAGGTGAGGCTCCGTCACTCAGAGTCTACCAGCCCCTAGTTTCACCTCCATGCCTCTTTTTTTGTGGGTGTAGTGGGGATTGAACTCATGGATTTTACATTTAGCACATCCTAGCACTTTTTAGTTTTTATTTTGAGACAGCATCTTGCCAAGTTGCCCATGCTATCTTCAAACTTGTAGCCTTCCTACTTCAGCTTCCTAGACTGACCTGAATGCTTCACCGGCTCCTTTAAGGTCACTTCTCATCAAGCCATAGATAGTGGTCTTGGGGGGATCCCAGGTGGATCCAGTATCCTCCCCGGCCCCCTAGACATCCAGCTCTCTGTTCTGTTTCTACTGAGTGTGTGTCTTTGTGCTACAGCCACCCATGAATGGTAGTGAGTGAGAAAAATAGATTGGAAAGAGTGATATGAGAGGAATGACTGTATCCCTATGCTTTGGTCACCCCTTGGTTATGACATTGTTCTGCTTCTCAGACCTCCAGGAGGTAGTTGCTTTACCTGAGGAGTGTGGTGGTGACATTGTAGCTGTGGTCATTTTTCAGCTCATAGGTGACGCTGTACATTTTAAAGTATCTTTGGCTTCCATTCCGAATTGTGTTCTCTGCTACACCTATGACGTACCACTTCCCCTGGAACTGGAAGACAGTGATGACAGCACAGCCCAGGGACATCCCCAGGACTACCCCTCAATACTATCCCTCCTGGGACCCTTTGGCAGCAGAGCCTGGAGATTGGGCTGCCCTGAGAAGCTGGCAGGAGCTGGGTCCTCACAGGGCCAGGAGGGACCCTGGGTGAGGAGCTAGCTCTCAGTTGTTGGGAATGGGGGTGCTGGTGGGCCTTCCTGGGCCACAATTTTCCCTTCTGTGCAGAGGGACTGAAGATGTCCTCACCTGGCATGCACTGGGCCTGGACTCCCTGAATCTTGTTTCTGTCACTGAACACTGCCCTGAGTCCCATTGCCTCTCCTCCCCTCTGGTTGAATGGTCCCTGTCACCCAGGTACTCCTTGCAGGTGCTCTCCCAGAGCCTTTACCTGGTCTTCCTGGAAGTCTCGCAGTAAGGGGACCTTGTGCAAAGATGGTCCTGAAGTCTCAGATGGAGAAGAGTCCTGGGCTTGAGTCTGCAGGGCCCCCAGCAGGAAGAGGCCCAGACACAGGAGATTCAGGGCCATGACTTCAGAGCAGCTGCTGAGCCTGGAATGTGTGGAAAGAGGAAGACGACTACTGAAGTTGCCCACCAGGGAAACTATTTATAGGCCATCTGAAACCCACCCCTTCTGTGGTGGCCTATCCTGCAAGGCTGAGTAAACTGCCCAAGTCACCTTCAGAATCGCGTGACAAGATACCTTTCTCTTTTCCCCTAGGAAGGATTGTGCAAGATAGAGAGAGGGATGTCAGGATAAAGTATAAGGGTGTAAGAACATTCTTTAAGGTTGGTTAAATTAATCTATTTTGTAGGAAGGAGAAATTTCCTCAAAAGAAGGATTTTTGTTTGAAAAATTGATGCTATTTTTGTGCCTCAATTTTTGTTTTATATTTAATAATACATATGATTTGTGAAAAAAAGAATGTTGTATTTCATTGTGAAGATACTGAGTTCAAAAATCAGTACTGGAAAAAAAGAAAGAAAGAAAAGTAACCCAGTGACCACCTTGAGTAGGGATGCCTTGGGTCCTGGGTGCCCCCCATGCATAGCTCTGGACAGGCAGAGCAGCTCTCTTTGCAGAGCAGGGACTTGATGGATGGGGAGGTGGGCAGAGGTGGTGAGGGTAGGGGAGAGATTTGTGTGGGGCCCATTCTCTCTGTACTGAGGCCAGGCCTGTCTCTGACACACTGGCTTCATCCTCATCTCTGTGTTGGTCTTTGCCTTTGCTGACACCTGATGACATCCCTCTTTCATGTGGCTGCCTCCTGCCTTTCACCTTGGCTCAGTCCTAGGGACAGGGATTGAGAGAAGAGGATGGGACCTGCTGACAGATGTGTACTTCAGGGGTGCTGAGTCTCAAGGTGGGCATGGCAGCACTCTGAAAGCAGTCATGGCCATGGCTGGGGCAGAGCCAGGCCAAGTTGGCCTCATCACTGTCAACTATAGTTATAGACAGAGGGGAAAAGGGCCTGCTGTGGGTTTGGCAGTGTCCTGCCTTAGCATAAAAGGTCTTCTGCAGGCTGGATTCAAGGGGGAAGGTTCTGTGAACCCCCTTCAGAGGCCGAGAGTGTTATGCGGGGGGAGGTCAGCTATACACACAAGCTGCGAAGCTCAGCACTAGGGGGATTGGGTGAGGATCATAATGGAGAATGCCTGGTGAGAACTGGGTGTATTCATAGTAGTGGATTCAAAGATAGACAGGACAATGGAGGCTCCAGACCCTTCCCATTCTATCACTCTTAGGCCCCTGGCCAAGGAGGGCACTGAATGGTCCACACTGCTCATAACTGTGACACTTCGGATGATCAGTACTGCACATGTGGCATGTGCATTGGCATCAACCTGTCCTGGCCCCTTCTGATGTTTTTCATGGTAACCCTGAGCTGATAGTGCATGACCACATCCACTAGCTCCCACGCTGTCTCCTAGGATCTGGAGACTCCTTAGTGAGGCATCAGCAAATTCTTCAGAAATTTTGGTGAGAAACCTCTGCTGGGAGAAACCAGGGCTGGGCACCTAACATCTTGCTCTGGATCTGCATAGCAGCAGCGCTGCTGGGTCAGGTCTGCAACTGGGTTTCCTGTGGCCAGAAGGCAAGAGAATGCTGGATGCTCTTTTCTCAGGCCGTAGGTAGCTCCCTGGAGGGAGATCAAGATGGCCTAATTTCCTGGTGACAGGTCAGGCACCAGTCAGGTCTCACTGGCCCCAGAGGGCAGGGAGAGGCTCCCTGGGGATTCAGTTGTCACATCTCAGGAACGCAGTCTAATGGGGGGAGCTGTGTCCAGCCTTACCATGAGAGACTCAAGGAGCACCATCAACGTGCACCAAAAGTAATGGGGTGAGGAGAGAGAGGTGGGCAAGAAGCAAAAGAGAACAATATTGAGGACAGCTGCCAGGACCTTGGCCTTGGACTGGCTGCAGTACTCTGGGCCCCACTCAGGGTTCGGGAAGGAAGTGTGAACTTCTGGAGATATTGCTTGGTGACTCAGACCATGGACTGGAGGAATAATACACTCTTGCTGCTTTCCCATGCTTCTCAGAGTCCCCTCTCATGGGTGGTATGGTCTGCAGTGATGTGATGAGCAGGCAGGACAGAGGTCACACGGTATCGTCCTGGGTGCTTCCTTTGAGCCAGCAGATGCTCAGGTAGGCACTGGTCTGCCCGTGGTTATTGCAGCCCCAAATGTCCCTCCTTAGGACCTCAGCTTGGGTCTGCCAGAACTGGAGGAGCTCATGGCTCTCAAGTCTCTGCCCACATCCATGAGTGTCTTCCTGTCCTGGAAAGCTTCCTCCTTACATTGCTGGTTTCCCTTGCTCTTTGCTCCCTCCTCCCATAGTGCAATGCTCTTTTGATTCAGTCCTTTCCTCCCCAGTTCCAGAGGGGCCGTGTCTTGGGCCTTCTCCTCCTCACATTCACAGTTCCCTTGACAACCACGCCCCTGACCTCTCATGGGCAGCCTTCCTCCCAGTGTATTTCCTACTGTCAGCATTCTCTGTAAACTGGATCACCAAAAATTCTTCCACATAATGAAATTACTGTAACAAATTGTTGCACACTGGTGGCTCAAAGCCGCACTTTCCAAAATACAGAAGCCTGAAATCTGAAATCCTTTTCACAGGAATTAAGGATGTAGGAATCAAGATATGGGCAGCGCTTTGCTCCTACCAAAGGTCCCAAGGGTGGATCTCGCCTCCTTTTGCTTACTGGGCTTGTGGCCCCATCATTGCTATCTTTGCCTCAGTCTTCACATGACTTTCTCTCTTTTGTTCAATTTCCCTCAGCTGTTCTTGCAGAAGGACACTTGCGATGATATTTAGGAGATTGATAATCCAGGGTAATCCACCCATTTGAAACCCTTAATTCATTTAAATATAGAATGGAGAAAGAGCAAGAGAGACAAACAGAAGGAGGGAGGGGAGAGAGAGAGAGAGACAGACAGACAGACAGACAGACTGGAAGGATAGAAGGAAGGAAGGAAGGAAGGAAAAGATGAAAGGATAAATAGGAGAGAGAAAAAAAGGGAAATGCTGATCATTGGTTTAGACTATCTTCATTTTTTTCTTTTTAAGACGGATATTATCATACTGGCCTCAAACTCACTATGTAGCCCAGGTTGGCCTTCAACTGGAGATGATCTCATGCCTCAGCTTCCCTAGTGCTCAGGTTATAGATGGGAGGCACTACCCCCAGTTCAGCATATCTTTATTCTATTCTTGGTGCATGTCCATGATGCCAGCACCTAGGAGGCTGAAGCAAGGAAATCATGAGTTTGAGGTGAGCATGGGCTATAGAGTGAGACCATGTTCTCAAAAGAAAACAAACAATCTCTTTTCTTCTTTTAAATTTTATTTATATTAGTGCATGTTTGCACAACATAATGAGAATTGTCACTATGGGGAGTGGGTATATGTACATTATTATATCTTAGTCCTTTTTACATCTCCTGCCTCTTCCCTAACTTGTTCTTTCTTACTATTAAAACATCAGTAAGTTGTGAAATAATTTTACTCTTCTCTTAAATATTTGAAGACAGAACACACTATACATTTTATACTATGAATAAGGGATATGAATATTGTCACTCTCTCATTAGGCTCTCCCATTTCTGGTTTTTCTCAGGTTGCCTCCAGGATGGTGTGTCATGGTCTCCAAAGGGAAAGGCTTGCTGTCACCTTCTTGTGGGTGCTGCAGAGGACATGGTGGCCTTTTATCCAGGCAGCTTTGTTCCTTGTGGTGGGCTCTCACAGAAGCCTTCAGGATAAGGTGCCTGAGCTGCAGCCACTCCCCATTGCCTGTATCTACTGGGAAAGGTCCTCTCCTTCCAAATATTTCTCTCCTCCAAGTAACATCAGGCTGGGTTCTAGAGAGAGCAGCCCATGGGACTGATAGTGGTGTCAGCCTACACTTTTCCCTTCCCCTCCTCATGGGCCAGGGAAAAAGACATGAAGACTTGGTTGGATGTGTTTATTTAGTAGGAAAGGCAGCTCCATTGGGAAAGGGCTGGAACTGGTGGCTGTGGGTGTACAGCAGTGTTATGGTTTGGGTTGAGATGCCCCCTAAAGCCCCATGTGGTCATAGGGTTGGTCTAGAGTGTTTGAAGCTGGAATTGATTCATGATACAATGCTAGGCTCAAGGGGGCTAGGATTAAGAGTGTGAGTGCTACCCGCCCTACGTAGTATGAATAAGATAAAAGGGGCACAAAGATCCTGTTAAACTCTCTCTTGTTACCTTTGTTGCCTTGTGTATGGCATGTTGTTTGTCCTGAAACCTCTACAAACTGTAAGCCAAATAAAACCATTCCCCTCCAACTTTGGGTGTCTAGTATTTTGTCTCAGCAGTGAGAGAAAAGTAACTAACAGAAGCAGTGCACTATAAGAAGGGACTTCCAGCTCTCTCACTGTCATTGTGGAAGCTGGAGCAGACAGTTGGCACCTTG